TGGTAAGCGATATTGACAACCAAAGAGTTTTTAAAGAGAGAATTGAATTTGTCATCTTTGGAGTTTCTAATAAGAATTGCCGAATTTAACAAGATGAAAGATCCACTGACAAGGTTTCAACAATCACAAATGATTATTGATGCCTTCTTTAGAGAAGAAAGTGACTCACAGATTAATTTGAATAATAATATTAGAGAGATTGTCATTGAAATCTGACAACTTTTTGAGATTTACACAGAGTAAACAGTTTACAGATCATATTATTAGTGTAGTTACTGAATGTTTGGAATCAGCTAAGGATTTGGAAGGTTTTTATCATTATTTGGATATTTACTTGTAAATGATTGGAGAAAAGAAGAATGCAAGAATGCAAGATTCGTCAGCTAGGAATTTCATTGTTGATGAGGAAAATAAAAGGTGTAAGTTTATTAATGTCTCTTGTATCAATAACGACCTGAGAGACCACACTTTTTCGGCATTTAAGGACTCTGTGCAACATTTGAATGATTTGGGTTAAGATTGAGTGCCGTTGAGTGAGTGTGCCTATGGTTTGGGTTTGGATATTAATCTGCGCTCTTAAAACATCATTATTTATAAGACTTCATATACATCAATATATATCATTAGATAGGAAATGTTCACGGCTACATGCTGATATATAATTTTAATATTGGTTGCTATCAAATAATGGAGATAATCAACTCGTTTTACCTCAATATTTCTGTGTTTTTTGTTCTCTTGGGGGGGCTTGCTAGATACGCAACCATTTGGCAAAAGGTGAAAAATCGCATAGGTTCAACTTAATTCTCTTGGGTTTGGGTTGGGTTTGGGTTTGGGTTTGGGTTTGGGTTTGGGTTTGGGTTTGGGTTTGGGTTTGGGTTTGGGTTTGGGTTTGGGTTTGGGTTTGGGTTTGGGTTTGGGTTTGGGTTTGGGTTTGGGTTTGGGTTTGGGTTTGGGTTTGGGTTTGGGTTTGGGTTTGGGTTTGGGTTTGGGTTTGGGTTTGGGTTTGGGTTTGGGTTTGGGTTTGGGTTTGGGTTTGGGTTTGGGTTTGGGTTTGGGTTTGGGTTTGGGTTTGGGTTTGGGTTTGGGTTTGGGTTTGGGTTTGGGTTTGGGTTTGGGTTGGGTTTGGGTTTGGGTTTGGGTTTGGGTTTGGGTTTGGGTTTGGGTTTGGGTTTGGGTTTGGGTTTGGGTTTGGGTTTGGGTTTGGGTTTGGGTTTGGGTTCCCGTTTGGGTTTGGGTTTGGGTTTGGG